GTGACAGGGTACGGAGCCCCAACCCCCCTGATGGGCCCTGCTCTGTGCGTGACAGGGGGTGGCGCTGCAACCTCCCCATCGACCCTGCCTTGAGTGTGACAGGGGGCGGTGCCCCAACACCCCAATCAGCTCTACCCTGAGCGTGACTGAGGGTGGCATCGCAACCTCCCGATCTGCCTTGCTCTGTGCATGACAGGGGGCGGCGCCCCAACTCCCCAATCAGCCCTGCTCTGAGCCCGACCAGGGGCTGCACCTAGGGATTGGGCCTGCCCTCTGCCACCCAGGAGCAGGCCTAAGCCAGCAGGTCGTTATCTCCCGAGGGGTCCCAGACTGCGAGAGGCCACAGGCCGGGCTGGGGGACCCCCCCCTCCCCGCCCCGAGTGCACAAATTTTTGTGCACCGGGCCTCTAGTAATTTATAATTAGTAGAAAATAACCATACCCATTCTCAAAAATAAGGAAATAGATAAAAATAAATAAATGTAAAGAACTAGTCATTATGATGATTGTTTTTAGTTTTGGTTTCCTTACATTGGCTGTTAATAAGTTCTGCAAAAAAAATAAAATTTGACTTTTAGAATTTATATACCTGTGCTTCTAGTCCACAGGTATCCTCAGGGTGCTGTGCCTTTGCCTAGTCCTGTATTTTCTTTTAAAATATGATAAGAATTTATGAAAAGAAAAACTAAAACATGAGAAATGGGTCTCATTTATTTTTCTCCTTGCTGTCCCTCAACTTCTGTCACCTACCTGGTATATTTACTTAGAACTTGGCATTCAGTATTGGGGTGATTTCCGAAATCCTGGGGTAGATAGGTCTTTGAAGATTGAGTTTGTTAGTTTGTGTTTGTTTTAATCAGTGGCCCTGCTGTACTGATAAGGTGAATTTGGCATTCCTGTTATGAACAAATCATTTTCTCCATGTTTTCCCATTTTTCTTAAGGATTTACAAATACTATAGTTATTTACAATATGACTTGAATTTATAGGAGTGTGCCGAAAAACAAGGTCAAATTGAACGAGTCATTAAGGAGAAAAAAGCAGTGGAAGAAGAACTAGAAAAGGTAAAAAGAAAAAGAAAAAGAAAAAAATAACTGCCTAAAACCCAACTGCAAATATTCAACATTACTGTCTGCTTCCATTACGCTATCTACTAGCAACCCCTATATTATAAGTATTCCTCTGGTGAGTGTTTTTTTTTTTTTTGGCTTGGAATACTTAAAAGTATAAATAGTTATATTTATGAAATAGTTATATTCCTTGCTCAAACCTCATCCCAATGGTAAATTTTATTTTGTCTTCTCATTTTAAATTTTATGCCAACTTGAAAATTATAACGTTGTGATTTTTACCTTTAAAAATACTTATTTTTATTTCATAGTTAAGAAAAACACCCCAATGATATTTGAGGAAAAAATATTGTAAGGGGTCTATAGTTAACATTTTTTCTTACTTAGATACCTTTCTTTTATTAGCAGTAAGTATCCCACTCTCTTCAAGAGCCTTGGGGGAAGGGAGATACATTTGACTCAGCACACGCTTACCCAGTGTTTAAAAATATAGTAAGTAATAGAGTCAAAGTTCGATTTTCTTCAAAGAGGTATATAGCATAAAAAACATGTGATATATTTGTATCATTAACATAAAGAAATCATAATAACATAGGATCATAAAAGAGTAATTTAAAAAGCAAAATGTCTTTTTAATCCCTTATCTGGGGGAAAAAGCACACATGTTATGTTTAAGGTAGGACCTTCATGGTCACCAGTCTCCTTCATGGTTGATACCTTCTCAGTTTTCATCATATATGTAACATTTAAATTGTGATCAGGACTTGGGGTGAATTTTTAATGTCACAAAGCATAGGTTAAGGAATAGGCTATATTGGAGAAATGTAAAACTTATAAGGCTAAAGGCAACAGGTTCTCCCACTGTCCACAGACAAGTGTGCTAAAGTCCCCTGCTACACTGCAGTATGAGTCTGCATTTTGGTAGCAGGACATTGTGCTGATATTCTATCTTTTTTATAAAGCAGGAGCAACAAAGCATCTTGTCAGTGGGAGAAGACATGGGTTACCTGTCCAGGCAGTCTGGATTTGAAGGGTGGCTGTGTAGGATTTATCTGAAAATGTGAGCTGCCTAGACCTTGCCGTTCTTGGGGTGTTATAGCCTCTACTAGAGGCCCGGTGCACAAAATTCGTGCACAGGTAGGGTCCCTCCCTAGGCCTGGCCGGCATTCAGGGCTGATCTGTGGGGTGACTGGCTGGGAGATTGGGGCGGGAGGGTGATCAGAGGGCCCCTGCTGGCACCCTTTTGTGACTGGCTGGGAGATTGGGGGGGGAGGGTGATCAGAGGGCCCCTGCTGGCACCCTTTTGGCTGGCCTGCGGTCTGCGGGCTGGGGGCAGCTCCTGTGTTGAGTGTCTGCCCCCTGGTGGTAGGTGCACGTCATAAGTGACTGGTGGTTCCGCCTGTCATTCTGCTGTTCAGTTGATTTTCATATTAGGTTTTATTATGTAGGATGTTGTGGGAGAAGGCCAGTCTCATAGGAAGCTGAGCTTGGGTACAATCACTCCTGCTGGGCAAGGGGGAACCCCCATTCTAGCTAGGTCATTGTCTAGTTAACACAGAGGGGCATTTTGGAGTCACTTTCACATAGTTCTGCTCATTGCACCATAGCATGTATCTGTGTTTGAAAATTTAAATAATCGACTTGTGGGATCTTCATCAAAGAAATTAAGCAGTTATCTCTAAAGGGGTGACATCTAGAGCACTTTTTTTTTTACTTCAGTTATTTTACATTTCTTTTTAAAATATTAAAACTATTGGAATAATTTACAATGAGCATGAATCATTTCAAAAAATAAGCAGTCATTATTTTGTCAGTTTTTAGCATTGTATTTTGTAAATGTGAAACACCCATCTTAATTATTGATGTGCTTTACTACATTACAGTGGAAACAGATAAACACAGGACATGGGTTTTGATTTCTCACCGTTGATTTCCATTTCTAAACCTATCATTTCTTAGAGCATTGCCTCTGTAAGGTAATATACATATGAGCCTCTTCTGCAGGTTTACCGTGAAGGCAAAGTAAACGAAAACCATTACAGAAAACTGGAAGAAATGCACCAAAGATGCCTGGTTGCAGAGTGTTCAAAAGATGATCTTCAGCTAAGACTTAAGACAGCAGAAAATAAACTGAAACAACTTGAAATAAAGTAAGACACTCTTTAGAATTTTCTGTGATAACACTTTCAGAATGCAAACAATTTTTGACAGATCCTTTACTTTTTTCATAGGATTAATAATTATACCTTGTGTTAAAAAAACAAACAAACTTTAGCACCAAATAGATTTTTTTTGCTCAAAATTATTTCTGAAGACTAATTTCTTCAGAAAGAAAATATTTAATAGTATTTTATCATTTTTTAAAATTTCTTCTTTCTGGCAGTGAAGGAGGATGCGTATATGTGGAATCATTTACCTTGTTTCTCTGTGCCACGTGGTTCCTAAAAGCTAGTAATTAAGTCAAGAGGCTTGAGTGTATCCAGTTTTCATTTTTTTTGTAGGATTTCTTCATAGGTGTTGATATGTTGGACTTTTGTTTGGAGGAGCACAATGTGTGGTTAATTCTGGTCTTAGCATCTTTCTGACTCGCACTCTTTGTTGATCATTGCCTACATCCATCATTTCACTAATAACTTTATCAGCCAAGATTGATATAGACAAAACAAAAAAACAGATCTACAAATATTATGGGAAATGAAGGCCTTGTATTAACCAGGAAATGTTCACAGTATTTGATTACCTAGAATTGAAAAGATAGAGATTTAAAACGAGAGGGATAAAAATTAGCACTATACATGTTTGGTGGTTGTATCACCCAACAATCCATTGTAGAGAAAGTTCAAAAAATATAACCTATTTAAACTATAATTAAATAAGACATTTATAGAACTAGAAAGATGTAAAAACCATTTCTAAGACATATAACAGGAAAATATGAAATAGGTCTTATTATAATTGCCTAATATGGCCAGCTAATGTCTTTCTATGGGGGTTGCTTGATGAAATAAAGGAGTTTTATTACCTACTTCACTTTTCATACCATTAGCTTCAGTTTGTCCTGTCACAGTCCTCTTTACACAGTGATTCTCAATGTTAGTCTATTCTTAGTTAAGATTGCTACATTGAATGTGTTTTCCTGGCATAACATAGAATTGTGACACCGTGCGGTTAAGTGTACGGTGAAGAGAAATGGCTCAGAACAAAGAAAATGAACTCTATGCTATAATATATGTATAGACAGACTTCTTGACGTCCATTACCTATCATTAAGTTTTTTTTTAATCAGTTCCTCAGAAGAGATATCACGTTGCCAAGAAATGATTCAGAAACTTCAAAATGCCCTGGAGTCTGAGAGAGAGAACTGTGGCTTCGTCAGTGAACAAAGGCTAAAACTTCAGCAAGAAAATGAACAGTTACAGAAGGAGACCGAGGATTTAAGAAAGATGGCTCTCGAGGCTCAAAAAAAAGCAAAATTAAAGGTATTTTCAATACTAGTCAGAGTTAAATATGGACTTGTGAAAATCAGATTGTAGAGGATATTTAGAGACCTTGTAAAACATTTTTAAGGCCCCCCCCCTTTTTTTTTGCCTTCTCATCAGATAGCACTAAATCATAATGCAGAGCGTTAACCGGCCTTTCTGTGGTGTAGAACTTGGCAAGCATACTTGAAAATGATTGCTTTCACTGTCCACACACAAAAAAATTATTTTCCAACCATGAAGTACACTAAGATTCCTGCCAAAGCAATTTAAGCAATGCTAGCAAAACTATAGATTAGATAACTTTATAGACTACCTCTCTTCTCCCTCTGTAATAGCCTCTTGAAAATTGACCTCTAAAACTGGCTGTACAGAGGATGCTACCTCAGAGTGTTCTGACAATCACTCCTAGGTCGTCTACAAATTCCACTCGGAAGAAGGCAAGGGACAAACTCTCCTCCAGGAAAAAGTCCCCGTCATTTTCTCTCTCATTTCTCCTTCCTTAACGCTCACATGCTTTGGCAATAGGAACATGATAACCTGTTTAAGGGAGTTTCAAGAGGCACAGTATCACCGCCAACATGTTGCTTGCCTTTCCCATTCAGTGAGACTTTTATAAAAGTGGCATTAATTCTATATCATTATGATCTGTATCTTCTGGCTTCATAGTAGGGATACGGGGTGGTAATGCTAGTGTTTCACTTTGTTTTTTGTTACTTTGAGGACTCATAAAGTCACATTTCAACCAAATTAATATCGACATGTTTATTGAATGCCTCTTTTTCCAAGTAGTAACATTGGTTACTGGTAAAAGCTTAAATTCTGAAAAAGAGAGTCTTATGTCTCTTACAAAGAACTTTGTACTTTATATTTTAGTCAGTGGGAAATCGTTGAACAATAAGGGAAGACTTGTTCTACAAGATATGAAGACTTTATATAAAGCTATAGTAATTAAAAAATGTGTAATCAACATAAGAATAATCAATTTGATCAGTGAAACAAAATAGAGTCCAGGAACAAACCAATTTTTCATAATCACCTCATTTATAATAAAGGCACCACTGCAGTTCAATAGGGAAAGATTTATCTTTACCATAAATTATGTTAGATCAGTTGGGTCCATATTTTAAAAATAAACCTTGACTCATATCACACCACCCATGCAAATTGATTTGAGTTTTAGACCTAAATGAAAATATAAAACAGTGGAGCTTCAAGGAGAAAATCTTCATGTCCTTGAGTAAGAAAGAATTTATTAAACAGAACACAAAAAACAATAATCATAATGGAAACACAGATGAATTGAATTTTACTAAAATTAATGAATGACATCAGAAGACATCGAGAGAATGAAAAGTAGAAGAAAGGATAATATATACAATCAAAGGGACTCATTCGAAATATAAAAACTATTACCAATTAATAAGGAAATTATTAATAAGAAAAAAGTTACTTAATAAGGAAATAACATACATCCCATTTCCATAAATGGGCAAGACTTAAATAGGTACTTTATAAAAAGAGCACATATGAAAAAATGTTCAACTTCATTATTGATACTTTGGGGAATGTAAACTAGTATAACCACCATTTGACAGTATCTTTTAAAATTGGACAGACATACATTCTATACCAAATAGTCCTGGCTACTTACCCAACGAGAGTGCTTATGTTTTCTGCAGTGAAGGGCACAAAGGAAGATGGGAGGGAGACCGTAAGTCCTTTTTTCCTACCCAACATTCTGAAGTCCATCATTTGTAGGACTTTTGTTACAGGAGGCCCAGTTGTAGCTGTTTGCCTTTCGATATCACTGCAGACCTATCCAGTTTAACATTCAGAATTGCATCCAGTAAAGGTTCTGAGGTTTGTTTAAATACTGAATTTTGACACAAAAAAGCCATCATTTGTTCAATCCACAGCTGTGTTTTGACGACTTTACTGTGTTTCAGATCCTAAAGATGCAATAGCAAACAAAAAAGACATGGTCCCCACCTTTAAAACCTTGAAATGTGCATGGAGGTGGGCAAACTTTAAACATCTACTTACAAACTTTTTAGGAAATGCATAGGGCACTGTGAGAACTTATAGAGAGGGACCTAACATTGTCTGGATAGTTAGTTAGAGAATTACCCTGTAGAAGCAATAATTGGGCTGATTGTAAAAGTTGGATAGAAATAACCAAGATGGAGCAGAAGGGGAAAGATTATTCCATGCAAAGAGAACATATCGAAAGGACCCAAGAATGAGAAGACATTGTGGCAGAAATGAAGAAAGAAGGGGAAGGTGGCATAATACAAGCGTGTACTTGTGGAAGTAGGCACAGACCAGGCTATCATGAAGGACCTAAAGCAGTGATGGCGAACCTTTTGAGCTCGGCGTGTCAGCATTTTGAAAAACCCTACCTTAACTCTGGTGCTGTGTCACATATAGAAATTTTTTTATATTTGCAACCATAGTAAAACAAAGATGTATATTTTTGATATTTATTTTATATATTTAAATGCCATTTAACAAAGAAAAATCAACCAAAAAAATGAGTTCGCGTGTCACCTCTGACACACGTGTCAGAGGTTCGCCATCACTGACCTAAAGCAAGGCTTGTCACAAATAGATTTTCCAGGTGGCAATGGGGAGTTAACTTGATAGGCAGAATTCTAAAACTATATATGTGTGTGTGTGTATATATATATAAATATGCTTAGATCATTTTTAGTATGTGTGTGAGAGAAAGAGAAATAGACAATTCCACGTAAGATATCAGAACCAGGGCTTCTCCAGAGAAGGTGGAGATTGAGGCTGGGAAGGAGGAGGAGCATATTCAAATCTAAATTTTCAGACTTCAGTAATTCAAAAAAGTGTTAAAAAGCAGGAGTCAGGGAGCCTCAGGAGGCTTGCCCAACAGTAATGCAATACAAAATTAAGAAATCAATATTGTTTTCCAGTGCCTGCATTCATAAAGTCTTACATTTCTACTTGTGTACTATTTGAGAAAGCAAACTTAAGAGTCTTAGGAAGCATGTTGCATTTAGCAGGGGCAGTGAAGACAGACTGTTTGCAGTTTTCCCCCGTGAGCCAGGGATTTTGCTGTTGTTGGGTTTCCTTTGGTGTTTTTTGAATTGGTAAAGTTCGGTCCTTTGTTCATTCTTTTTTGAGTTTGGAAGTTGCCATATTTAACGAATTACTAGAAGCCAGGCCAGCTATGACCATTTTAAAGCCCAATACTTGAAAAAAATCACAAAGTTAGGTATTCTTTATAATATTTCTTTAGTGTAACAAGATAAAGATGTCCTGAGAGTACACCAAGGAAATTGTAGTGACCATTTTCTCAGTTGCCTCAAGGATGGTCATAGGTAGTTTCATTCTAGATGCACCAGGAGTAGGCACTTCATTACATGCTTTAGGGCACCGAGGCTTCGTTCTATCCCTGGATCCCAGCTGAGAAAACCGCTAAGTCTGGTTTTCAAGGTATCCCAACAGTATTTATTTGTGTGTTCATAAGATGTGTTTACAATGACATACACTACCTAGAAATGAACTGAACTTATTTCCATATGAGATTCTCAAAATCATTATTATAGTCTTTTTCCTGAAAAAAAACAAAACACATTTATACCGTAACTGAAATGGTGAAGGAACTCCCATATATAATATTCTGTGACTTCACAAAACCCTTCGCAAGACAATCTGAAGTTTAGTATATTAATCTAAAGTGACTGGAGGAGCTCCTGAGTTGGTAAACATGTCGGGGGGTTAGGGTGTGCACTTGAACAGGGCCTGGAAGCTCGCAGCCCCTACCTCCCAACCTCGCCCTGTGTATCTCTTCCATCTGCTATTCTGGAGTTGTAGCCTTTATAATATACCAGTAAACATTTTTTTAAATGGCTTGAGTAGAAACCTAACTCTTAATGACTGAGAGCCTGAACATTTCCCATGGATTATGGCAACAGAAGTAAAAGTAAATGATGAGAGCAGTTTTAGATTATAGAATATACTTTTTTCTACTGACATTTTAAGGTGTTGGGGAAAATGCCGCAAAAAATTGTAGTCCATCATAATTCTGGTTTTGCTAAATTTTACTGTCATACAGGATGAGTCCTCAGTGGTGAGAAAAACCAATCGTAAACTTAATTTTTATGTGGATTTCCCATAAAAAAATTTACGTGTACAGACAACACAATGAATATTCCTTTTGGGTGTGTCATTGGTCAGTATATCCCTTAGAATAATGGGAAAGAAAGAGAAGACACTGTGCATTTTATTCCCTAGATCAGTGCAATGGAACATGAATTTTCTGTAAAAGAGCACGGGTTTGAAGTTCAGCTGAGAGAGATGGAAGATAGTAACCGCAACTCCACTGTTGAACTGAGGCATCTCTTAGCAACGCAGCAGAAAGCAGCCAATAGGTGGAAAGAAGAAACGAAGAGAGCTACTGAAAGTGCCGAAATGAGGATCAGTAACCTGAAGTAAGTCCACTGTTAATTGTCTCATACATTCTACAGAAGAAATTAACCATTAGTGTAAGGTCTGTGCCATAATCTTTTTATAAAAGTGTATAATTCTGGACCTTATATGTATATGTTTTATTCAGCAAATGTTTATTGAACCACTATAAAAAATATTGAGCATTATAAACCAAAACTGATATAGTGTATTTTTATAAATTTTATGCATATTCCACAAAATTTGATTTTTGTTGGATATGGCCATTTAGAATCTTAATACTATTTGCATGTAGATTTAACATAGTGATGTTCTATAATTGCAACAGAATCCATTTGGCCTGCAAAACCTAAAATATTTGCTCTCTGGACCTTTAAGAAAACGTTTACTGGCCCCTGCCCAGAAGGAACTTGAGCTTCCATGCTGAGTGAGATGGGATGCTATAGCAGTGGTTCTCAACCTTCCTAATGCCGCGACCCTTTAATACAGTTCCTCATGTTGTGGTGACCCCCAACCATACAATTATTTTCGTTGCTACTTCATAACTGTAATTTTGCTACTGTTATGAATCGTAATGTAAATATCTGATAGGCTATATGTGTTTTCCGATGGTCACGACCCACAGGTTGAGAACCGCTGCTATAGAGGCTTTGAACAAAGTGATATGATCAGACTTAAATGTTGAACAGACCAGACCTAAATGTGGGGAGTTGTGAATGTTTTCTACAGCACAGGAATCATTGATGCTCCAATATTCTGCTGCTTTTTCTCATTACAAGCTCTCGTTCAAAAATTGCCTCAGCACTGTTTGCTGTGTTTTCATCTCTTTAATACTTTTGAAGTATTGCAGAGTTTTTAATGAATTGATTAATCTGAATAAACTAATATACCTTTAGTGGATCCAAACCAGGGGTCCTCAAACTTTTTAAACAGGGGGCCAGTTCACTGTCCCTCAGACCATTGGAGGGCCGGACTATAGTTTAAAAAAAAACTATGAACAAATTCCTATGCACACAGCGGCGGCAAAAACACCCGGCGGGCCGGATAAATGTTTTCGGCGGGCCACATGTGGCCCGTGGGCCGTAGTTTGAGGACCCCTGATCCAAACATACTCTTTAAAAATATCCCACCTCATTTGGCATAATATATATTGGTGAAATATATATTTCATGATAATAATATATATTGGTGAAAGCTAGGCTTTGGGTAACTTTTTTTTTATATGGATGGTACATGTCTCTGTGGTCAGTTACAGCATCCTGGAAGCTGAAATCAACTGTAGCTTCAAAATAAATCAATTGGATCTGTTGCAGGGAATTAATATTGGGGTCATTAGAATTAATGTTGTACTTACTACACAACATATTCTAATTAAGAAACATTAGCAGTTGGTTTTCATGTTATTTCTTAACAGGAAATATGCTGTTATACCCCTTGTGTTTTTACACTACTACCTTGAGTGAAAGTAGTGAGGCCAGAGGCAAACCAAAAGAGAGAGAAACCAGACAGAGTTTTACAGTTTCTGTACTCCAGGTTCCCAAGGATGAACACAGCACACCACACAGGGCCACACAGGGGAAGCCTGGGGTTGGGCACAAGACAGAGGGAGTCGGGGACAGTGCTCAGCAGCTCACATAGACAGAACAGCCCGCCGAGCCTAAATAGTCAAGAAACACTTCATACCCTAGCTCTAGTTGTACACTTTTTTTTTTTTAGCAATTTGATCTCTACTTTTAGTGAATTATTTTTTTTTTGCCAATCTATGAATTTGAATTTACAGCAAACTCACTCTGTATGTCATTGCTAAGAACTTACGTGATTCTCAAAGCTTATTAGGTAGAAGTAATATAAACTTTTCAAATTATCCATTTGACACATAACTGAAGGCATTATGTTCATTTTATTTTCAGTTTACATAGAATTTTAGAACACTGTGCATGTCTTCCCAAAATAGTCTCCATCTTTTATGTATAACTCTTAATATGACAGCCTTTAAATACTGGAAAACATAAGCTTTAGAATCATATTTATCAACAGCCTTAAACAATAAACTATTGAAATAACAATTTTAAAAACCTAAAAATTTTTCTCCACAGTATGAGTAGCTGACTTAAGACCTTCACATAGGAATCAGTTAGGGTATATAAAAAGGAGTCTAATAAACAAAATAAACTGACAAAATAGAAGCAGAGGCATGGATACATGGGACAGACTGACAGCTGTCAGAGGGGAGGGGTGTTGAGGGGCTGGATGAAAGAAAGTGAAGGGATTAAGCAAAGAAATATATATCATAGACAACAGTGTGGTGGTAGCCAGAGGGAAAGGGGGGCTGGGGTGGAAGTGGAGGTGGGCAATGGGGGAGAATGAGGACAGAAAGAGACTGCTTGGGATGATCAGGGCACATGATGCACTATGCAGATGATGTGTTTTTGAATTGTACACTTGAAACCTGCATAGTTTTGCGAACCAATGTCACCCCAATAAATACAATTTGAAAAAAGCTAAAATCATAGCTTCCAATCCAGGGTCTGCTCCACAAATGTGTGATTATGTATAAACCACTTAATTTTTCTAAGCATCAATATTATCATCTCTAAGCATCATGCAAATATTACATATTGTTATAAATATTCTGTACTCATATTTTTATTCTATACTAGAGGCCTGGTGCATGAAATTCGTGCACTGCAGGGGGCGGGTGCCTCAGCCCAGCCTGTGCTCTCTTGCAGTCCGGGACCCCTCGGGGGATGTCCGCCTGCTGGCTTAGGCCTGATCTCCCTGGGGATTGGGCCTAAGCTGGCAGTCAGACATCCCTCTCGAAGTCCAGGGCTCTCGCAGTCCGAAACCCCTTGCTCCTTACCGCTCACTTTGCACTCGCCAGCTGTGAGCCCGGCTTCTGGGAGCACACTGACCACCAGGGGGCAGCTCCTGCATTGAACATCTGCCCCCTGGTGGTCAGTTTGCATCATAATGGCCGGTCGTTCCGCCATTCGGTCGATTTGCGTATTAGGGTTTTATTATATAGGATTCATATTTCAATTGCCTTACTGTCCTTGACTATCCTTGAGATATTTTCAGTATCCTAATTTTTAGTTTTTATCATGATCTTATCTCTTCAAGTTCATATGGATACTAATTATTGTGACTGCTTTTCCTTCTGCCATTCCAGTTCAGTGTAACCCAATTTTTAACAAATCCACAATAACTGCATAGGGAAAGAATCCTTCTTTGAATGCTCTTATTAAAGACAGAAGAAAAAGAACCAGATTTTTCCAGCCTCTCCTGTGTGTTTGTTAATCCAGTCTTTGTTCCAGGGATTAGAACACTATTCTTATTAAATTTTAAAAGCCCCCATGTTCCATGGCATTTTTGGTAGGTTGAAAAGGTTGAGGAAGATTACTTAAAACTAAATTTGTTATAAAAAATAAATAGGTTACACATCTTACATTCTTTGAAATTTTTAGATTTCATTATTTTCTTTAGAAATCTTTTTAAAAAGAAATAATTATGCTTAAGTTAAATCTTTCTTGGTTATGTAATAATTTTTATAATTTTTTTAATATGAGAAAGCATTATATTTTATTAGGGTTTCATTACATACATTTAGGATTTTGCAGAGGAAAGTCTGGTTTTCATAAGGCATTCTTAACCTTTACCTGGTATGCCTGTGTTGGTTATTTAAACCAGGATTGCAAGAGAAAGACACTCCACTATTCTAGAGAGACTTCCTGCATGTCTCTGCTGGGTCCCTGAAAGCATGTTAATATGCTCCGGCATGTCAAAACGAAAATGTTTACTTTCAAAATAGAAAATATTTTCACAAGAGTTTGCATTGAGACTTGTTTCCTTTCATAAAAGGATTATATATTACACGGTATTGAGAAAAACATATAATATTTTAGCATGTAAGGAGGCAGCACAATGGTTAGAGAGAAGAGCACTGACTCGGGAGATGATCAAGCCTGAATTTGAATCCCACCCAACCCCAACACTTTACACTTACCTGTAATCCCATGTGTTCCTATAAGGCTTTATTTATATTTTACATATACAGTGTTAACTCCATGTCTGACATGTAAAATATTTAGGAAGGAAACAGTAAAACCGGGCCTTAGGTGATAGCCTTTATAATTGCAGAGATGGTTGTATTTCAAGCAAACCATATTATAATGCATGGGATATGTATATGAGAAGTTTACGTGCTTATTTCATTTTTAATTGTACAAAAAAGCATTGCTAATTCTAGAAAGCACTAGATTTTAGGCAAGATTTATATATGTGAATTGTATCCTCTTTGGAGACATAAATAGTACTGAGGGATATATATGAAATCAAGCCAAAAATCTTTCCACAATAAAAATAATATCTATCGAAGTATTTTCTCTATCCCTCACCTATTGGTCATAAGCAGAATTACATGGCAGCTATAATTTTTAATTTTGAAGTAGAAATTTATGTTTATTCCAGTGAAAAAATATGTTATGAATGTGTTGCTCTCCACTGCACATACTTAGGACAGCTTCCATACCATACGAGTACTAGCAATGTGATTATTCCAGGAACTCTCCGGGCTAACTGCTAGATAGTATTTCTGTGTCTTTGGGGAAGGATTCACTTGTTTTCCTCAGAAACAGTTTTGTTTTAGACTGATTCAATGATACAGTCCAAGTCTTCAACCAACTATGTCTTTTATTAATAATAAATTACAACGTAAACTACAGAGCAATACATTTAAAAATCAAATGGCTCATTTGATGCATTTGACTTTCCCCATGAGGATTTCTGTGTATATGCCACCAATTCAGGCATTCTACTATTCATATAAAATGTGTTTATTCATCACTGTCGACAATGAACTTTTTCAGGTTGCATCCCAGCATCCATTGCCAGCACATCATTACCATGCTATATGCATTAAAGCTTTCCCCTGAAATATGTCCTCTTTACTTCTTAACAAATACTTATACATTGGCTATGTTCTTGCCTCCCATGTGTCCACCTACTTACTATAGTTAAAGAGCAT